GACTATTAGGAAGGATTTAGGCACATCCACATTGCTTTCTCAGCTTCTGTGTTCGAGCTTAGCTCCACCAGAGGAAAAGCCCGGCAGCAGGCCAAGCAAGCAAAAAAAAGGAGACTTGGCATCTCCAAGTGAAGAACTGAATGGCTGAACAAACGAGGGGGGACGGGATGATTGTTGCCATGCAAAAAGATGCTCGTTTACTCAGTTCGTCTCAGCCCATTTCACCCCACCTCTTTCTTTTTATTTATTTATTTATTTTTTTACACAAATGTTTTCACTACAGTTTTTTCTGCCTGCCTTCTTCATAAATGGCTCCTTATATTTATCTTTTCTTTTCATCTTCTAATTAAATATCCAATTCCTCCACTTCATGTCCGCCTTCTCACCTCCATCCAACCCATTTCCAAAGCTGCAGATGTGTTAGAAGCAGCTTCTCAGAGGAGCGTTGAGGCAGTTAATCCATTTGCCTATCACTGTCTCGGCTGCTCTCGCCACCCCTTCCTTCCTCCCCGCCAGCTCTTTCCAGACCCCCTGGCCTTATGTCTAGCCACTGCCTTCTCACCATCAAACCCAATTATTCAGTTGGCTTCCCTCGGCAACCGCACCCCAATCTCCACTGACCTGACTCCAGGAAAACTCCAGCGTGTTTACATTACGTCTGTTTAAGTCTGTAAAAATGAACGTTTTTTACTTTTTGTTTTCAAAATCCAGAGCGGCATAAAGCATTGCTCTAACTCTCTTTGTTTCACCTTGAAATTAAAACTAACATGCAATCCAATCTAGTTATTCAGAAACATTTTAAAATATACAAAGTGTGGGATAATCGCAGCTTTATGGGCGGTAGCCTCAGGCGTGAAAGCTTCCCGACCCACTACCCTACTTTTTCTGATTGTTTCCCCCATGTTTGGGTTTTTTTGATTTAGTGTCTGCACCATGTTCCCATTTAAAAATCAGGAGATAAACACTCCTTATGGACAAATTTATGCATGTGGGCACTCTCTCATAACCTAATTACTATAGATGCATGCCCCTAAATTCACCTGCAGCATTTATTTCCCCATAACAAGAGAACCCTGACCTCATGAACAAATGGGTTAATCTGCTTTCAGTGTTTCTCTGTGTTCCATGCTACACACTGTGTGTGTTTGTGTGTGTGCGAGACAGGTGAGGTGTGTTTACCTAACAGCTGGCTAAGTCCTGCTGAGACACAGACAGCAGGTTATTTATAGTATGATGTCAAACTGAGTCATATGCTGTCGATGTATCGCGGTAATAGAGGAGACTCGTTCTAGCTCTTTCTGTATTTGGGTCACATGTATGATAAGAGCTGCCTCTTTCTTTCACGTCTTTCTGTCGTTTACAGTGAAAAGGACAGAGGCTGAGACTTTGTTTCTTCTATTCATAATGGTCTGTTTTGTGCATGGTGGAAAATATTCATCATTAAGCATTTTTTGGGACTAATATGGCAGCTTTATTACATCTTTTTTATCTATTTTAAATGAGGATATTTTTTAAAAGTATACAAATACTTAGTCCATTTACATCTACTGAGAAACGCTTGCTTAAAGAATACACTTTAGACCAAAGCATTGGTTCGCGCCGCCCCCTAACTCTGGGTGAGGCCAACAGATAAAATAAAGATGGGAACCATGAAATAATGAACCCTAAGCTGCACTAGTTTGCATGTGTCCATGGGAAAGACACTGAACTCTAAATGAACCCCAGTGCATCCATTAATGTGTGTATGTGATGGATAAACCAGTGTGGATAAAATAAAAACCTGTAAATACACTTAAAGGCCTTAACTAGGTGCTAGAAACACTCCTTATGATTCTCTAACCCTATTGACATGATACCATCACCATAGCTGCAGATGCACGTTCATGATGCAAATCTCCCGTTCCACCACATCAAAATATGTTTACTGTGGAGACTATTTGAGTACAGTAGATGTTCTTTTTTTGCTTGTTTTCTCTCAACAGGTGATCGAGATGATTTTTGTGACACGATGCTTGAAGCAGCCATCAGAGGATGGTCACATTGTGGTCATAAAGAGATGGACACGGTCAGCAAGAATGCAAAAGTAGACTTTGGTATATAAACGACGCTCAGTTAGTACTAAGCGCCCCTTCTTTTGGACCATTCTCTGCAAACCTTAGAGTTGTTTGTGTGGGAAAATCCCAGCACCAACAACCATGCCATGTTCAGAGTCACGTAAAGCACAGTTTTCTTTAGCACCTCTGTGGTGTAAAACGTGCCACCAAAAGTTCCTCCAAAGGTTCCTGGTATCTATGGAAAAATCTTAAACATGTTTTGCAGCTGGCTGACCAACGATGTAAAAGTCGATGTTGGCACAGGTTTAGGATATTTAATTAAACTCAGTGTTATGTGAATACACAGGTTACAAGTCTGTTTCTGATGTTTTGTTCTTGTAAATCGACTGACAAGAAGTGCATTCGTCTCTCCAACATCAGATTTTAAGTCTAAGTTTGAGGACGACTTGTGTTTACATAGTGTTTATCCTTGTGTTGTTGGAGTACCTGATTTCAGGGGAGGGCTGAGGAACAGAGATGGTGGGCTCACTGTCGTGTCTCTTCAGCTCCACCTCCACTGTGATGGTCTGCTGATCCTCCTCACGCACACGCAGCTCCTCCTGGGTCCTGAAAACACAAGCAGCCTCGTATAAAAAGAAAAACACGCAGAGGAAATGAAACGCCGAAACACACACACGAGGAGGAAAAACGGGCCTAGTCATAAACACACTGACATCAGATTTTCTCCGCCACCCGCCCACCGCACCCAGGAGTGTTTAATGCTATGAAAACATACAACAAGTGAGTGTTTGTGAAACAAGCTGAGCTGATCCTGCCTAATACATTTTGCGACTCTGGACTCAGACTCACCTCCCGTCATGGCTAAGCGACTGGGTGTGCCTCCTGAAGACAGAGGAAACACAGTCAGTAAGAGCAACGTGCTTTAAGGCTCACACTGGTGAATTCTGACAACACAACTTTAAGCTTAAGTTTAAGAAATAAGAGTTTGGAAATAAAACCAGTTATATTTCAGACTAAAGCATAACAAAGCCATTAATTACAGCGTTAACTGTCCCATATATGAACTTTAATATTTATAAGCTCATGTATAATTAAAAGGGCGGTGAACAGATGGATTCCCTGTGACCATCTAATATATAAATGTTTTAAAAGATGTGTGTGTGTGTGTTAGTACCTGTAGCGGGGGTGTTCGGCCGTGTCAGAGGGAGATCTCTCAGGAATGGACAAAGAGGTGGTGGAGGACAGCGTAGTGGCAATTGATGCTGTAGTGGCCTCCTCGAATGATGGAGGAGTACATGGAAGAAGATCTGGTCTCCCTGGTGGACAGACACAGTCATTACAGTTTATCTTGGAGAGATGTCAGCGATCTTTTTTTTTTTTGGCATTTTCCTCCTTGGATGCCTCCTGGGCGAGGTGTTCTGAGTATGTTCTACTGTGAGGAGGCCCCAGGGCAAAGACAGGACACGCCGGAGAGATTATATCTGTCAGCTAGCCTGGGAATACCTCAGTGTTCCCCCGGATGAGTCGAAGGTTTTTTTCGGGGAGAGTGAAGTTTGGGTTTCTCTGTTAGGCTACTGCCCCCGCAACCCAGCCACATATACATGGTAGAGAAAGGATGGATGGCTGGAATATGCTGTTGTAAAACTATATACCGTGTCCCATCTTTGTTAATTTTATCATAACACACAGCAGGCAGTGTATTTACCCTCGTCCTCCAGCGTTGGGAAGCTGCGAGCTCCTCTCAGGTCGTAGATATTCTCGTCTCTCTCAGAGGGCAGCTGGCTGGCTGACCAAGCTGCACCAGGACCACCACACTTGGGCACCGTCAAGGACACACGACCCTTCTTTGACGGAGAGGACTTCAAAGCTGAGGAATAATTTACAATAAGGCTTTTATTTACAGTAATGAACCTGTGTGTTGAGGGTTAATAGTTTGGGGTATTTAGCTTACAGTATACACAGCCTCTAAGTGACAGTTTTTATGATCTCTCTCTCTCTGTATATATATATCTATATATATATATAGATATATATATGTATATATGAAGTCTGAAATGAATTTTTACTTTTTAAAGACCTTTTTGGGAACTTGTTCTGTGTTAGTTTTTAGTGATTATTATATGGTTTCTTTATTTTCCCTTTTAATTCCTGAGAAAATCACTTTAGGTTAGGAATTTGTTTGGGTTTTGCGGAAACAGGAAATTGGGATTTCAAGTAGGGATGCACCGATACCGATACTGGTATCGGGGCCGATA